CTCAATATGGTGTTTCTTACTGCTAGAAAAACACCACCGCCGACCTTGTCAACTCGATCTCGTCTGTGAATAGTATATTCAGCACTCGGGAGAAGTTCGCAATTCAAGACATCAGGTTTTAGCCATGATTCAACACAAAATATGAGATCATGCCCAATCGATAATGCCTGTAACTCACTACGCTTGTTGACCACACTTCTAGCATTCATATAAAGGCACTTGATCGCAGAACAATACAATGTATTTGCGTTACTGTTAATCCGACAACCAGGACCAGGTTGTGTAGCAATGTCTCCACAGAGAAGCAGAAGGCTGCCCACAAGTAGACCGTTACGACATGTAAAGTCTCGATGTAAACGACTAAGTCTAAGTGGCTTTCCGTCAACAAGGCAAGGTTTTTCAGCATAACAGGTTTTACAATATCTCCATAAGTGAAGCGAAACTTCATTTGAGTTGTTTGCAATGCTAGACTGAGATATCAGTAGCAAAAATCTTACTGCTACAATAAAAACGACGGAACTCAGATCGATGCGACCAACCGCCATCTTGACATGACTATGACCAAGTGACATCTTATTGTGACTTATTAGAGAGATGGGCTTATTAGAAAGGTGGGCTTATTAGAGAGGTGGGCTTATTAGAGAGGTGAGCTTATTAGAGAGGTGGGCTTATTAGAGAGGTGGCTTATTAGAAAAGTGGGCTTATTAGAGAGGTGGGCTTATTAAAGAGGTGGGCTTATTAGAGAGGTGGCTTATTAGAGAAGTGGGCTTACTAGAGAGGTGGGCTTATTGGAGAGGTGGGCTTATTAAAGAGGGGACTTATTAGAGAGGTGGGCTTATTAGAGAGGTGGCTTGTCAGAAAGGGTGCTTATTAGAAAGGTAGGCTTACTAGAGAGATGGGCTTATTAGAGGAGGACTTTAGGACTTATTAGAGAGGTGGGCTTATTAGAAAGGGAGTTGAATAGAAAGGGGGGTTTAATAGTTTATTAGAGATGGGGCTTGTTAGAAAATGGGCTTACCAGTGGGTTTTATTAAAGAAAGGGTTTATTACAGAGGGGGTTTATTAAAGAAAAGGGCTTATTCAAAAGAACAGTTTATTTCAGAGAGTGGATTAATGAAGGATTTATGAATACTACAAGAACTGACTCTCTACACTGTTAACTCACAATTTCACAGTACCTTTTGTAACTGAATTAACATAATATGTCTTTCCTTGTTCTGTTTGAAATGCTGACCAGTTAGGAGGCAAGTCAATGCCGTGAACAACTTTCTGCAGAAAGAACAAAATTGGTACACTTACGGGGCACATTCACCATAATACAAGTAAAAATGTCAAAGCGTTCATGGTGCTCATTTTGAAAATATGATACTGTATGCATTCTTGATCTTACCAGCTACTATTGCATAGGTCAAAAAATTTTTTTTACAAATGCCAGTGCATGAGGATGATATTCTATGTCAGTTATGGCTGCACAGATGGCACGAACATTAATTGTTAAATGTTATATCAACTTTGGAAGAAACAGATTACATGTACACTTCATATAGCTAGTACAAAACTAATGCGCTGAACTGCGTACGAACATTTGCTGCAAACTCTTTGCAAACTTCAGATAAAAAGATTTATAGGGTCGGTGATTTCAGTAGCCAAGGTATTTTTTAGCCTTACAAACAACGATATAGATATGAAAATGGTAAGTTTAAAAGCCACATTCCCTGTTGGGGCGGAGAAAGGCAATGGTTTTCCCCTCTTGCCAACATTTAAGAAATTAATTGCAATAGCATTACAGTAGAAACCAAATATTTTTGTGTCTGACACAACTACCCTGTCCCCTAAAATGTTTGGGATTAATTTATTATTTTGGCTTCATGACCATGCATGTGACAATCATGTGACCTTTTCATCTGAAATTCACTAATTTGTTTTGTTTTGACAGCAAGAAATTATTTACATTAAATGAATTTGGAAACCACGAGCTAAATTACTGTATACAAAACCCCTACTTCATACTACCTTTGAATTATATCATTTTTAGTCTAATTTAGAAGAAAAAAAACATCCAGACAAACAAATATTCATAAAACAGTTTGCTATTATCTGGTATCATGCTGATCAATTAATGTTGAATATCATAAATTTTAGCCAGAATAAACAAGCGCCGAACAAGATATTATATTACATAAATTCTTATCAAAATTTTTTTTCTGCAAATTGTGTCCAGATAAATGAGAAATCCATGAAATTCGGTTAAATATCTAAACCTTGCCGTTTAACAAACAGAAAGTTAACTTTGATTGAAGCAAAGGCGTATTAAAATATATATTTAGTACGCTAAAATGTTGATTTAGGACGCAGACGATTTGCATTTTATTTTGGCGGTCAAATGCAATCCGATAGCACATTCCAATAATTAATTATTTAAAATTCCAAGCGAAAATTACTAATTTACACGCGACTTTATGCAATGCTTGCAGAATGCATAGTAACAACGTTATTTGCGGTGGGCAGTTTTTGTTTTTATGTAAACAAAATGCAATAAACGACAACTTACAAAGAGTATTTATGTGCTAAACTACGCAGGAAGTCCGCTTTGCATATTTGATAGTGTTACTACCGATTTGAATCCACTTATTTGCACGCGGTTTTTGGCATGTTTACAATAATCATCGCTATTCTATTAGCCCGGCTATGGTTTATTACAGAACAGATTTGCCTGACCTTTTTTGCATTTGAAATTAGCCCAAAGTCGCAAATGAGTCATTTGAATAAATCGTGACTGTTCAATCAAAACATTTTCTAGAGTTTTTTTATGCTAATTTGTGGGTTTCAGAACTTTCGATAACTCTCCTCGAAATACTTGGTGTCAATTTCAACAGACACAGAACAGAAGCTCCTTCCTTATTTAGCAAAGCCTATAGGTTTTAATAAGGAAATACGCAAATGGAATAGTGTCCAAGTGTTACCATTTAATAGCAATTGCTGACCTGTTCTAAAGTCGATACGTAAGTCGCAGGAAACCATCCTTCGATTTCTGATTGTTGAACTTCACCCCACCACCAGCCATCCTCGCCTTTTTCAAAGACATTTAGAAGTTGTCCAGCATCAAACTTCATACCAGTATGATTATTGTAAGAGTACAAAGCTCGTGCAATCTCACAGACTTCCATAATTTCTGCCAGATAAAAATAAAGTTCAGTAGAGTCAAGTGTTTTGATCCGGCAACTTTGTTGAATGAATGAACACCGCGTGAAACACACGCGCTATTCGTGTTGTTTCACGAAGTTTCTAGATATTGCGCAATGATTCGTTAATGGAGCTTTTCGACAATACATGATGCCATTGTGAATCGCAATACATTGTGGTATATGAATATGATGAGCCCAAACTAACGTAGGCATATAAGTAAATATGATCGAACCCTAAACAGCAGCCAGGCCTGTACACAGCGGGGCAGGGGGGCAACTGCCCCCTAGAGAAAACTATATTTACGATTTTTAGAATGACATTATTAATTATTCTTTGGGTATTTGGGGACTTTTTTCGGCATAGCCTTACTGTCCCCCTGATGAAAAAAATCCTGCGTACGGCTCTGCGGCCTGCCAGCAGCTTTTTGTTCTGGCAAGTCATTGGATGTTCAGTGAAAGCTATTGAAAGGTAACAAAATTTAAACTGATACAAAACAAATGAAACTAGCTCCAAAAATCGATAACATTAATTTCACATGAACGGTTGGCCAGTCGTTTATTACAATTTTTGTGGTAGGGGCCTGTGGTAGAGTTCAATAAGACGAAAAATTGTCCAGCAAATATTGGTCATATCATACATGCTTTTCAAAATTGTGTATTTCGAATCTATTTTGATACATCTTCAGCATCATAATATTTACAAGATATGTCTTCATGTCTTGTAAGTGTACTGCTGAAGATGAATCAAAACAGATTCGAAATATACAGTTTTTTAAAATAGATCATGTTAGATGTGTTGTTAAAATGCATAATTTTTTCAGAATAATATTACTTTGAGTATATTTGCTGAAACTATCAGCCGGTACTCATGCTTTGGAATTGGATGACAGTGTTTCAGAAGTAGCTTACAAAAAAAATACCTGTCAACAGGGGCGTAGCTAGAGGGGTGTGTGGAGGGGTGTAACACCACCTCCCCCCATTCATCACGGACTCGGCAAATGTCTGCTTGACTCGACAAATTGTTTTCGGATTTATCAGCAAATTGTTTTCGTAGTCAAATTGTTGAGTGGCTCGGAATAAAAAGTAATAGTTATACTTATCATAGCAAAAATTTCGCCAAATTTACAAAAATTACGGAAAAAGTTAACAAATTACGATACAATAATGGGAAAGTTTGTGAAAAATGCCTGAAATGCGGCAAATGCGATACTACCCCCCCCCCCCTTCTTTAGCCTCTACGCTACGGCCCTGCCTGTCAACATACCATTCCCACTGAATACCACATATATGTAGGAATAAAATATCTCTGAAAATAGTAATCTTTTTTTAAACATTGCATCACGGTACTTAGTGTACAGTAGCTTTGTTTGACCTCTAATGATTGCCCGATGCGAAACAAGCATAAAATGAGCTTGCGTAATGTATTTAGATATGATGATTTTGTATCCAAACGTATCCAGGATGCATGGAATCATTGTTCAAGTTAATTGAAGTCTGCTACTTACTCGCCCTTGCGACTGAATAAATCAATCTTCATTGATTGCCGAGATACAATTTTGAAACATGTTTGATCGATCAAAGATATAGAGGGAAAATACCCAACGGCAACACTCAAAAGTTTGAAAAAAGTGTTATATATTTCCTGTGACTATACACTGTCTGCACTCGTGAAAAATTCTAGACAATTCAAAACAAAGCGACTTTTAAAAGTTGTAGCTGTAGATTTACCATTATATACAAACAACTATAATACGAAAAAGTTGCATTTCGTGGCGCAGAGACTCTCAAACGTGGTAGAGGGCAGTCAGGCAGTACCCCAAACATGGCGGGAAAATCGGCCGTGAGAACTTCGCAAATCAGTTCTCATCAAATTTCGAGCCAGAGTTGATAAGAGTTTTCGCTACGCGCGTGATAATATCCAGTAACTCTCATCAACTCTCATGAAACTCTTGTTCTCGTTTGACGGGGGCATAAGAGTTGAGAAAACTCTCATGCAAACTCTCGCTTCTCAACTCTCATGCTTTATCACTTTTGACTATATACAATATACGTATATAAAAGATTACATGTTAGTTCCCCAGGCAACTAGTAAATATTACGCACGTCAAAGGAAAGATAAGGGACATTCCTCAGTGCCACGAAAAGACAGATGAAAGTGATATAATTTCGAATCGAACCATAGGCAGCCCAGCAAAATGTGTAAAAATGCATTAAACGCTTAAAAATACGTATAAAGTTCGTCACAATTTGCTATCAAGCGATTTATTTGTGTAGCTCATTATACATGCAGATTCCGATGTTTACGTCATTGTATTTTCGTATAGTAATAGTATATTATATGAAAATACAATGACGTAAACATCGGAATCTGCATGTATAATGAGCTACACAAATAAATCGCTTGATAGCAAATTGTGACGAACTTTATACGTATTTTTAAGCGTTTAATGCATTTTTACACATTTTGCTGGGCTGCCTATGATCGAACTTGCGCAAAATCCGGCGGTCAATTATCTTTCATTAGGCATGATATAGGTTTAGATAAAATATACTCAAAACTGTTGAAATACAGATAAAGTACACACTATGTCGAATTTGCGCAAAATCGGTCAATTACCTTTCATTAGGCATGATATAGGTTTAGGTAAAATATACTCAAAACACACCATGTCGAATTTGCGCAAAATCGGATCTTTGCATTATTAGCATGGCAGGTTTAGATAAATTATACCGTAAAAAGTTATTGAACTGTATAATTTTATGTTATTAGCGATTCCATCCTCATGCAATAAATAAAACATCGTTTAACAAAACCATTAATTACCATCAAACTTTGCCTGGTACGGCAATTTCATATCAAATATCATGGACGGAAGGAGTGTATTACTCGTGGCTTGAAATACCTTGATTTAAAATCTCTGGCATCAGTCGATTCATATTATGCAAAACGTATTCATATAATAAAATTGAGAACTTGCCCCACAAAGGCCACATTTTTCTCGCCCAAATCGGCCGACCCGCTTTTCCTCGCCTACACGTGCACACGCGTGAAAACGCACAAGTTAATTGTGACAGGTCTTCAAACAAGTTGTTATAAGTCTGTTCACAAGCTGTTGATAAATTGTTTCCTCACTACTTGTTCCCAAATGTTGTAACAAGTTTGGAACAAGCTGTTAACAACTTGTAACAAGCTTGACGGCATTATCAGACTTGTTACAAGGTTGTTCTAACAAGACTGATATACAGTCATGACATAACAAGAATAGGGCCATTTATACGGGACAAAATAAATCGCGTCTTAAATAAGACGCGTCTTATATAAGCGGAGTTATCGCATAAATGGTTCTCTACGGATTTATTCTTATTTGTACTTTCTATAGCTATAATGTTGTTTCGGTTGTTTTTGTTTTAATATGCAAGGCTAATAATTTTACGTTGTTTCAAGTTTCGGGCATGTGTAGCTAGAATTTTTGTCCAAAATTTCTTATTTAAGACGTGACTTAAATAAGAACAGCTACAAAAGTCCAAGACGCGTCTTACATAAGAATTTTGTACCTTTTATACGACAAACTCGCGTCTTATTCAAGTCGCGTCTTATGTAAGTCACGTCTTATTTTGTCTCGTATAAATGGCCCTAATGTTATATGATATTGACGACACAAGGTTGTAACAATATTGTTATATCATGACTGTATCGAACTTGTTGGAACAACATTGCAACAAGTCTGATAATATCAACTGAGATTGTTACAACTGTTAACAAGTTGTTCCATTGACTTGTAGTTGAGAACTTGGGATAAGCAGTGCGAACACAACTTGTTGACGGCTTGTTGGCAGACTTCGGCTACAAGATTTTTGATTGTGTAGCAATAAAATTTTTGCTTGTATGACAATAAAAGTTTTGAACTGAATGAGAATGAAATATCGATCAGAACTTTGAGAAGTTCGTGTCCATGCTTACTGCTGTACTGAATCATGTCAGTGTTTTACTGTAGAATACTTTTAAACATCTATCTATCCGCACTAGTATATACCTCTATCTACAATTCCATAAATGCTGAGTGTTTATTACCATGGTATTAAAATAATTAAATAATCTATCGACTTTTAAGAGACTCTTTTATAATCAAATTGCATGTCCTATATTAGCATGAATTTCGGCCGGTCACACGAAACCGTCGACCTGTATCCCACCATGACGAAGTCGAAAACTGGCATTCTTCAAATTGCATACCAGGCTGTGTCAGACAAACTCAGGCATCACTGAACGAAAATCACCAAATCCCATGCTATCATAAGCACGGGGAAGTATATCTCCAACGTCAATTGATGAGATTAATTTAAAATATCATATAATCCGCTTTTTACATTCCTATGGGAATTTTGAACTTTGCAACCAAATAGGAAATGATGCAAGTATAACGTTTGGCATTGTATGACCATGGATTGTAAAACAAATATGTTATTTTACAATTCATGGTATCGGACGAATGCAAGTATAACGTTTAGCACCTATGCTGATGCCGGTGCAAAGTTGTTTGAAAACGTCACTTTTGTTGCAACAATTTGAGCACGGTTTCTGAACTGAGCGACATGAAAACGGTCCCGCTTGACGGCAGTCGTGTGAACACAAACGCCGTTACTTTTTTGTACACTAAACAGTTAATCTGGGTTATCCGACAGCCATGTTTAGAACTTTAAGCCTGAAAAATCACTATATCTGGTGGATTAAAGGAATATTTGGGATATTCTTGCCTGGACTTTTGGAAGCGTAATTCGTGAAGTCTAAGACACACAGGACGCGATTCGACAACGCGGTGCGATTTTTTTATTTTCACCGGCCAATAACTTTGGTCATGAGGTACAGATCGATTTAGAAGCACTATATATAGTCTGTAACATTTTGAGTTATTTGGTCTACATATCTTTCAAAATTGGCTGTTTTATTAACTTCAAAAACTTCAACAACAATATACGAATATTGTTGTCGAATCGCGTCCGGTGTCTCGGCCACAAAAAAACACTCGCCTCACGGCTCGTGTTTACGCTTTCCCAAAGTCTCGCATTGTTTTAGAAAATAACTACAGTGAAACAACTGTTAATTTTATTAAAACGTTAAGTACTATTTAGACTATTTAAACGGTTAACTTTATTATAATTTACTTGTCTCTCGATTAATACTATACTGTTAATTCAACTTCTGAACTTCACACGTTAAAATGTTTTCATTGTCCAACATGTTAAAAAGCCCGCGCGAAGGCATTTAAATTTTCCGTGCAGGATTGTCAGATTCTGTACGGGTATTGAACAAACAAATTGCGTGTTTCACTGTAGTTCAGTTAGTATAGAGCTCTATCCGGCCTTCTTCTAAGTGTCCTGAGAAAAATTTCGAACTGCCCACATGGTGTTACATAAGTCGAAAACAGACTGCCAAGGCAATGACGAATCGTGACTGGGCGGTATTAATATTATAGATACATAAATGGCAGTACAATCTTACACATAACCCTTGAGGCCGTTCCAGCCAATATTGCAAAGTTGATGCACATTGACAAAACAAACTTTGTCACCACCCATTCTCCTCGGCCGGTTCAATATGTTGTAACTGACAACGCCGAAACAACTTTTGGTAACTTACCAGGACACTAGCTCAACATTGAGTTGGGGAAACGGGGGAATAAGAAGGGTATATGAATTTTGTTTAAATTGGGAAATTTAGTCTCAGAGTGCTCAGATAGTTATTTCTACGGTTGTAGGTCTGGTAGCATGCTCCCCCCCCCCTCCGAAAAAATTAATGTTCGAGGTCCAAAAATGGCCATATCGCACGTTTTCAGAGCGATGTTTGGTTTCTTCTCATGAATATGCGTTGTAACTATCAATTATTTATTCGGTTAGTTAAATCGGTAATTATAACATAGACTACTTAGTCCGGTTTTGGGGTTGTTAATTTGACATTTCCTCTGATAATTACATAACTCAATTTTATTTTAACTACCATTTTACATTTAGCCGGAATTGCCCTTGAAAATGGGAAGCAGGATAATCCCAGTTATCCTCAACATGCTGAATGGATTTATGAACAAAGGAAAACTCAATGGGATACTGCTCTGGTCTTACTTCATAATTTTATATCTATTTCCCCTTGCTTGCTTGTTTGCCTCTGAGGGGCCGGTCACTATTTATAGCGGGGGGGGGGGGGGG